CCCCTAAACCCTATAAACCCCTAAATTAGCAAGGGTCCCAAATCGTTGAGTTTCTGTTATATCTCAGCTTTCGGTTCTGGTTCGGACTGCGGAGCTCGCCAAGCCCAGAACGATCCGAAGTCTCTACCCATAGGCCCTAAAGTANNGTAGTTCCTTTCTGGGGTTCATATTTGGATTCCTATTAGGGAGTCCCAAAAAGGAACTACTATGGGGCCTATGGGTATATGGAGGATAAAGCCGTTTCCTGACCGTTTAAGAAGTTGATGCAGTTGAATTGTTGTGAGTGCTGGTATGGACAGTGGCACAACTAGCAGATGGCTGTACTGTTGGCTAAGGAATTGGGCGCCTGGGCTTTGATCTAGCACGGCTGCCATGCTTTTCTTGAAGGATCGGCTGCGTGAGAGGCATCAGATGTTTTTGGAGAGTGACGCTGCTTCACTTTGAGTTCTGGTTCTCATAAGATGCTCATGGACATCACTTTTTGCGACAGCAGCAGCAGCAGCAGCAGCAGCAACATCACCGTCAGCAGCATCAGCATGTCAGTGTCGTCATAGCAACAGCCACCGCGTGTTCTGGTCGTTGAAACCGTGCCCATGGCTTGAACAAAAGTCGGAACAACCACAGCGTCGCCATCAACAGAATTCAGAGTCGAAGTCACATCATAGATCAGACCGACGATGCAGACGACAGCAAGCACAGACACAACAATAACGCAAACAAGAATGGGCGACATGGCCAGCACCACAAGCACCAGAACCGCTGCGAGGAGTAGCCTGAAGACAAATGCCTGATTGGTTTAGGGTTTAGAGCGTATAAGGTTTGGGTTTAGGGCTTGGGGTTCAGGGTTTCTAAGTTTAGGAAGCAGCAGTATGCCTGAAGTGTTTAGGGTTTAGGGTGTATAAGGTTTGGGTTTAGCGCTTAGGGTATTGGGTCTATAAGTTGAGGGAGCAGCAGTAGCACCACCGTCAGTGGCAGACGCGGTGGAAGCAGCATAATCACCAGACGATGGGGTCGGAGCCAGCACCACCAGCACAGCAAGCAGCACTATGACTTACCAGGATATTGCCACTGCCAAGCACTCCTGACTGACGCTTCTACGCTGGATTCAAGATCAACGGCTCTGACATGATCTATAGGGAGATCGAGACCTTACCCATAGGCCCCATAGTGCCATAGTAGTTCCGTTTTGGGATTCCCTTATAGGATTCTAAATACGAACCCCAAAAAGGAACTACTTTAGGGCCTATGGGTAAACCCTAAACCCTAAAGAGGTGTTCTGCTTTTCACATATGTTGCGCGATGCCGCTTTTGCGATTCTTAGGTTCCCCAGGTTACGGCTGCCTGCATTGGAGATACAGAGCCAGGTTTTGGGTTTTAGGGTTCTGGAGCTATGGCTTAGGGTTTAGGGCCCCTAAACCCTAAACCCTAAACCCTAAACCCTAAACCCTAAACCCTAAACCCTAAACCCTAAACCCTAAACCCTAAACTAAAGTTTAGGGTACCTGATTTGGAGATGCAGGGTATATAGACTGCCCTTCTGTGTCAACCTCCAGACGAAAGCTGCAAACACCACGCGCCGAAGTGCAAATCCTGTTATGAGCCCCTACCCATAGGCCCCATAGTAGTTCCTTTTGGGATTCCCTTATAGGATTCTATAATATATATATATATATATACATATCTATCTATATATATATATATCTCCCTCTCTCTCTCTCTCTGAACCCCCAAAAGGAACTACTTTAGGGTCTATAAATATTTTGAACTCCGATTAAGCACCGCTCAACCTCCTATCTCTTGATAGCAATCCCAGCAAGCGGCTGCACGCCCAGGTGCTCTTTTTTCGACCAAGACTCCGAAACATGGTTCCGCTTTGGCTGAAAAAGATGAAAAAGGGCATGTCGCGAGCCATGCGGTTTAGGGTTTTGAGTTTGGGGTTTTGGGCGTATGTGGTGGTCTGCATGGGGTACCAAGACCCTGGCACAAACCTTGTCACCCCAAACCCCGAGGCTAGATAGAGTTCGGCAAACTCTGGTTAGCCGTTTGGGCTTTGCATTTCGGATTTTACTAATGCTTAGGCTTGAGGGTATTGTTTGCTCACACAGGAGTGTCAGTGTTAGATTGAAGTTTACGGGCTTAAGCCCTAAACCCAAAACCCGGCAGGAAGGGAGAGGCAGGGTTTCATACAGCAACCCGAACAACCAGTGACCGCAGCAAACTCTTCAGCATTTCAGTTATTTGCACACACACACACACTCATATACATACCTGCCTGCCTGCCTGCCTACCTACCGACCCACCCACCTTCCTTCATGCCTACCTACTTGATTCTTTGCCTGCCTGCATACATATAGAGCAGAACATATAGTATGTGTGTTGCATTTATAAACATATATATATATATATATGTACATACACGCACACACACACACACATATGGACTTAGATCGATTGTTTTGTCATGCACGCATGCAAGTACGTGGCTTGTTCGTAGCAAGCACCCCGCCCCCTCCTTATCTAGGCCTTTCTGACTTT